GACTATGATCACAGTACCCCACTCCACCCTGGGTGACAGAGCAATACCTTGTGTCAGAAAAATAAATAAAACAAATGCATGTGTTTTTCAGACACTGAGTTTGTGGTCATTTGTTAAACAGCCATAGGCCCCTCAAGCATCACATGTAATCGCCCCTTTCCATCACTATCCATGGTCAAAAGGCAAAGCTGCAACCTTGGCCAGGTGTGGCAGCTCACGCCTGTATTCCCAGCACTTTGAGAAGGTGAGGGAGGTGGCTACTTGAGGTCAGGAGTTCGAGACCAGCCTGGCCAACATGGTGAAACCCCGTCTCTACTAAAAACACAAAAATCAGGCAGGCGTGGTGGCACATGCCTGAGGTCCCAGCAACTTGGGAGACTGAGGGAGGAGAATTGCTTGAACCTGGGAGGTAGAGGTTGCAGTGAGCTGAGGTTGTCACTGCACTCCAACCTGGGCAACAGAGCAAGACTGCATCTCAAAAACGAAACAAAACAAAACAAACGCTGCAACCTATTTAGTTCAGAGATCTTCTTGTTTTGTTTTTTATTTTATTTTGAGACGAAGTCTCACTCTGTTGCCCAGGCTGGAGTGCAGTGGTACGATCTCAGCTCAGTGCAACTTTCGACTCCCTGGTTCAAGGAATTCTCCTGCCTCAGCCTCCCAAGTAGCTGGGATTACAGGCTCCCGCCACCATGCCCAGCTAATTTTTGTATTTTTAGTAGAGACAGGGTTTCACCATATAGGCCAGGATACTCTTGATCTCCTGACCTTGTGGTCCACCAGCCTTGGCTCCCAAAGTGCTGGGATTACGGGCATGAGCCACCACACCCACCCTAGTTCAGAGATCTTAACTGGGTTTTCTTTGCAATTCTGGAATTGAACAACACTTCATTCCATCATCGAACTGGCTACTAAAATGCCAGGGGTTTGGTCTAGGTTTTGCTGCCCTCTGCACAGAAAGCCAATCACTGAGACAATGAGGATTGCCAGGGAGGAAGGCTTTATTCTGCTTCAGGTAAGGAGAAGGGGTGGTAAAATCACACATGTCTCCCTGACCAACCAAAATTGGGGCGTTTATATAGCTGGGGAATGGGAGAAAACAGAAATTCAGGGAGGATGTTAAGGAAGTAATCTTGATGGATGGTGGGGTCTGGCTTCTAGTTGTCTGGATGTGATGATCTGATAAGTTTCAGTTCCTTGCCTGATGGTCAGTTTCCTGAGGAAGGAACCAAGATGAGAGAAATGTAAGTTTCAAGTTTTAAGACTAGGAAGGACCTATTTCTATGTTTATTCAAATAACCGTAAGTATTCATTCTATGGAAAAATTGGACTAGTTTCAGAATGTTTCCATGAGCTGAGCAGAGGAGATTGGGGGTTCTTTTTCTTTCTTTTTAAATCTGTTAAACCTTCCATTTTTGCAAAGGAGGTTTTATTTATTTATTTATTTATTTATTTATTGAGACAGAGTTTTGCTCTTGTTGCCCAGGCTGGAGTGCAGTGGCGCCATATCAGCTCAATGCAAAGGAGGTTGGTTTTATAGACAGAAAAAGGCCAAGGAAAGCAGAAATAGAAAACAAAAAGTGAGTTAGTCTTTTCAGAGTTAACTTTACTTGCAAAGGTTAGAGCAGAGGGGACTTTTTTGTGTTGGTTAAAACAACTGGCCTGTTCGGGGACTTTTTTTTTTTTTAAACAGAGTCTTGCTCTGTCGCCCAGGCTGGAGTGCAATGGCACAATCTTGGCTCATTGCAGCCTCCACCTCCCAGGTTCAAGTGACTCTCCTGCCTCAGAATCCTAAGTAGCTGGGACTACAGGCACGGGCCACTAGGCCCGGCTAACTTTGTATTTTTAGTAGATACAGGGTTTCACCATGTAGTCCAAGCTGGTCTTGAACTCCTGAGCTCTGGTGATCCACCTGCCTCTGTTCATGGATTTGACTGTTCTCTCTCTGTGTCTTTCTTCCCACTTCCTTCCCATTCTCAATTTCTTGGAAGATCAGAAAACCACTTAGCTCCAGCTTGGTGGTGAAAACATCAGCACGAGGGATTTTATTTTGGTTTGGTCTGTTGGGCCTAGGGCAGGACCAAATCAATGGCCTCCTGTAACTTCATTTAACACCATTCATTGTCCCTTTTTATTGCCTTCTTGGTGCCAGAAAAAGAGGTCCCTATCTAGACTTCAAGAGAGGGTTCTTGGATCTCATGCAGGAAGGAATTAAAGGCGAATTGCAGAAAAGGGACAGTTTATTGAAAGCTACTCAGTTACAAAGTAGGGCGTCTTCAGAAAACAAGAGGAGGGACACCTTGTTTTTGTTTTAAGGCTGTTTGTTTTTGAGATGGAGTCTTGCCCTGTCACCCAGGCTGGAGTGCAGTGGCACAATCTTGGCACACTACAACCTCCACCTCCCAAGCAATTCTCCTGCTTCACTCTCCCGAGTAGTTGGAATTCAGGCATGCACCACTATGCCCGGCTAATTTTAAAATTTTTAGCAGAGAAGTGGTTTCGCTGTGTTAGCCAGGCTGGCTTTGAATTCCTGAACTCAAGTGATCCTCCCACCTCAGCCTCCCAAAGTGTTGAGTGTTGAGATTACAGGCGTAAGCCCCCCCCCCCTCCCCTTTTTTTTTTTTTTTTTTTTTTTTTTTTTTGAGGTGGAGTCTCACTCTGTTGCCCAGGCTGGAGTGCAGTGGGATGATCTTGGCTCACTGTAGCCTCCGCCTCCAGGGTTCATGCAGTTCTCCTGCCTCAGCCTCCCGAGTAGCTGGGATTACACGCATCCGCCACCACACCTGGCTGGATTTTTAGTAGAGATAGGGTTTCACCATATTGGCCAGGCTGGTCTCGAACTCCTGACCTCAGATGATCCACCCACCTCAGCCTCCCAAAGTGCTGGGATTACAGGCGTGAGCTACCAAGCCCGGCGACGTTAACAGTCTTAAAGCATATATTGCTATGTCATGTCAGGACATCTGGACCTTCCATTGCTGTAGGAGCGTTCCTTGCAAAGATTTGTAAGATATTTTCTCAATTGTATACATCTTATGACCCTGGATCGTGACTGGCAGGGAATGTGCCTTGTTAGTTTTAAGATGGAGTTGATTTTTAGCCAGGTGTGGTGGCTCAAGCCTATAATCCCAGCACTTTGGGAAGCCAAGGCAAGTGGATCCCGACGTCAAGCAATCAAGACCATCCTGGCCAACGTGGTGAAACCCCTTCTCTACTTAAAGAAAAAAATCAAAATTAGCCAGGTGTGGTGGTGCATGACTGTAATCCCAGATACTCAGGAGGCTGAGGCAGGATAATGACTTGAACACGATAGGTGGACGTTGTGGTGAGCTGAGACTGCACTATTGCACTCTGGCCTGGGCAACAAAAGTGAAACTCTGTCTCAAAAAAAGAGGAAGAAAAGAAACAGGTTGCAGTGCAGAAATCAGCCAAAGCCCATCAAAACCAAGATGGCAACGAGAATGATGTGTGGTTATCCCCACTGCTACACTTCTACCATCGCCATGACAGTTTACAAATGCCAAGGCATTCCGGGCGCGGTGGCTCACCCCTGTAATCCCAGCACTTTGAGAAGCTAAGGGAAGTGGATCACTTGAGGTCAGGACTTCGAGACCAACCTGGCCAACAAGGTGAAACCTCGTCTCTACTAAAAATACAAAAATTACCCAGGCATGGTGGTGCACCCCTGCAATCACAGCTACTGGGGAGGCTGAGGCATGAGAATCACTTGAATCCTGGAGGTGGAGGTTGCAGTGAGCCAAGACGCAGGCACCACTGCACTTCAGCCTGGGCAACAGAGCAAGACTCCTTCTCAATAAATAAGTAAATAAATGCCATGGCAATATCAAGAAGTTACCCTACATGGTCTAAAAAAGGGAGGCATGAATAATCCACCCCTTGTTTAGCATATCATCAAGAAATAACCATAAAAATGGGCAACCAACGGCCCTCAGGTTTTGTTTTTTGTTTGTTTTGCTCTGTCTATGGAGCAGCCTTTCTTTTTTAGACCGAGTTTCACTCTTTTTGCCCAAGCTAGAGTGCAATGGCACAATCTTGGCTCACTGCAATCTCAGCCTCCTGGGGTCAAGCGATTCTCCTGCCTCAGCCTCCCCAGTAGCTGAGATTACAGGCGTAAGCCACCATGCTGGACTAATTTTTTTAAATTATTATTTCAGTAGAGACAGGGTTTCTCCATGTTAGTCAGGCTGGTCTTGAACTCCCTCCCGAACTCAGGTGATCCTCCTGCCTTGGCCTCCCAAAATGCTGGGATTACAGGTGTCAGCCACCGCACCCGGCCTATCTTCTTTCTTAATGAACTTGCTTCGGCTTTCTTGCACAAGACCCCGAATTCTTTCTTGCACAAGACCCAAGAACCCTCTCTTGGGATTTGGATCCAGTCACCTTTCCTGGAACAATCTGACACAGAGGAAACGTCCATGAAAGGCGGGGAGGAGGCTGGGGAAGGAATGGAATGGGAAGGCCTCTTTAAGGGGAAGGCGCAGGTGGGCAACGGAGGGACATTTGGGAGACACTGCGTGTGTTTAGGAAGTGGGTTTGGAGACTGATCTTTAAGTCAATCTGTGATTCAAAGGGCGTCCAGGGTCCTCTTAAGTCACCCTATGTGTGGCCGTCACCCCATGTGAGAGTTAAGAGCACAGGAACGATGTGTGGGTTCCCAGAGCCCAGCATACAAGGCAGGCGCATAATACAAATTTGCTGAATAAAAAAATGAAGAACAAGGGCTGTCGCGACGCGTAGCCGGGTCACGTCACAAAATATAACGAGCCGCTGCCCGCTTCTAGGGCGCGCAGCGCACTCTAGAAAATTCTCCAATGCCAGGCGGCTCCCGGAACCCTTATTTCGCTCTACACAAGTTGCAACTCCGGAGGGAAGACGGCGGGACTCCCAGCTTGATAGGCGGGGATGGGAACCAATGAGAGAGGTCAGCTGTGTATGCTGCAACCAATAATAGAGGCTGAAGGAAGGGACGTTTACGGAAGTACAGACTTCCGTCGGAAAAGCTCAATAATTACCGAGCCTAAGCATTTCTCCAGAGCTTGCGAGGCGATTAGGAGGCAAAGATGTCGGAGCGAAAAGTATTAAACGTAAGTGTTGGGTGGCTGGGGCTTTCCAGTCGGAGAGGGACGTTCGGGAACTTCGGGAGAGGGAGGGCATTCCTGGGGATCTCCTCTTTGGAATGCCTCTTCCCCAACGGCCTTCCGCGGGACGATGCTTCCCAGACTCCTCCCCATCGCCTTCCATGGGGGGGGGGTGTGGGTCTTCGCTAAGTCCTCCCTTCCGGGCTAGGGTGTAGCCAGCCACCTGCGGGGAGTGGCTTGGGCTTTTACCCAATCATTTCAGCAGATAGGGTTTTTGCGGATGGAATGAGCCAATCACGTTTTCTGCGGACGGGGCTTCCTCTCGGGCCTGTAGCCAATCGCGTTCTTTGGGGAGGTTTTGTTTGTTTTGTTTTTTGTTTTTTGAGGCGGAGTTTTGCTTTTGCGCACCAGGCTGGAGTGCAGTGGCGGGATCTGCGCCCACTGCAACCTCGGACTCCCGGGTTCAAGCGATTCTCTTGCCTCAGCCTCCCAATTAGCTGGGATTACAGGCGCCTGCCACTAGGCCCGGCTAATTTTTGTGTTTTTAGTAGAGGCGGGGTTTCACCATGTTGGCCAGGCTGGTCTCGGACTCCTGACCTCAGGTGATCCACCCACCTCGGCCTCCCAGAGTGTTGGGATTACAGGCGTGAGCCACCGCGCCCTGCCCTTTGTAGAGGTTAAGCTTTACTTAATGCTTCTATTACTCCGGCAGGAGACCCGCAGTTCCCCCAGCTGTTCCAGCTGCACCCCGCAACTCTGTAGAGGGCAAACCAGGACTGTCTTAGGCCAGGTTCCCACTCACTACACTGCATCGTTTCCTATGGAGTCATGTCCGTAGTTCTGAATCCTGAGTAGCTGAAACCTATGAGGCTCAGTTTACTACTCTGTGAAATGGGCACATTGTCCTCTATGTCCGAGTCTTTGCACACGTTCCTTGAGGCAAGGGGGATAAAGTGTTTTTTGCAGTGTCTGGTACCCAGCAGGCGCTCTAAAGCAAAGTGCTTTATTTTCCAGCGGTGCAGAGGAGTTATTTGTCATAATCCATACTCACACTCCCCTTGTTTCCTAGGGCTCCTGTTTGCCAGGAGTTCCTACAGCAAGCCTGGGACTGCTCTCCTAGAAAGACCTGTTTGCAGCTGGGTGCAGTGGCTCACACCTGTAATCTCAGCATTTTGGGAGGCCGAGGTGGGCGGATAGCCTGAGCTCAGAGGTTCGAAACCACCCTGGGCAACATGGTGAAACCCCATCTCTACTAAAATACAAACAAGATTAGCCAGGCACAGTGGTGGGTGCCTGTAATCCTAGCTACTTGGGAGGCTGAGGCAGGAGAATTGGCTGAGCCTGAGGCAGAAGTTGCAGGGAGCTGAGATTGCGCCCGTGTAACCCAGCCTGGGTGACAGAATGAGACTCTGTCTCAAAAAAAGAACAAGAAAACAAAAGAGGCTGGGCGCGGTGGCTCACACCTGTAATCCCAGGACTTTGGGAGGCTGAGGCAGGAGGATTGCTCCAGCCTAGGAGTTGAAGACCACTCTGGACAACATAGTGAGACCCCATCTCTCTAAAACAAAGACAAAAATTAGGTGGGTATGGTGGCGCATATCTGCGGTCCCTGCTACTTGGGAAGCTGAGGCAGGAAGATCACTTGAGCCTAGGAGTTTGAGGCTGCAGTGAGCTGTGACCGTGGCACTGCACTCCAGCCTGAGCAACAGAGCCAGACACTGCCTCCAGAAAACAAACAGGCCAGGTGCAGTAGTTCACACCTGTAATCCCAGCACTTTGTGGGGCCAAGGCAGGTAGATCACTTGAGGTTGGGAGTTTGAGACCAGTGTGGCCAACATGGTGAAACACTGTCTCTACTAAAAATACAAAAATTAGGCCAGATGACGTGGCTCGTGCCTGTAATCCCAACACTTTGGGAGGCTGAGATGGACAGATCACGAGGTCAGAAGTTGGAGACCAGCCTGGCTAACGTGGTGAATCCCCGTCTGTACTAAAAATACAAAAAATTAGCCGAGCTTGGTGGTGGGCACCTGTAATCCCAGTTCCTTGGAAGGCTGAGGCAGGAGAATCCCTTGAACCCAGGAGCCAGAGGCTGCAGTGAACTGAGAAGGTGCCACTGCACTCCAACCTGGGCGACAAGAGCAAAACTTCATCTCTAAAAACAAACAAAAGCGTGCCAACAGAATGGTTTATACTGAACCCCTGCTTTGCTTCTGGGATTCTGGAATCTTGGCTCCTGTGAGGCAGAAGGTACCTGCATGACCAGTCCCCATAAAAACCCTGGCTTTTTGGCCGGGTGCGGTGGCTCACCCCTGTAATCCCAGCACTTTGGGAGGCTGAGGCAGGCGGATCACCTGAGGTCAGGAGTTCAAGACCAGCCTGGCCAGCATGGCCCCATCTCTACTAAAAATATAAAATATTAGCCGGGTGTGGTGGCGGGTGCCTGTAGTCCCAGCTACTCAGGAGGCTGAGGCAGGAGAATCCCTTGAACCCGGCAGGCAGAGGTTGCAGTGAGCAGAGATTGTGCCCCTGCACTTCAGCCTGGGCAACGAGTGAAACTCTCTCTCAATAAAAAAGAAAAACACCCTGGCTTTTTAGAGTCTGCCGTGTAGACAGCGTTTCGAGTGTGTTGTCATGACTCGTGTTGGGAGAATTTAATGCGTCCTGTGCGACTCCCCTGGCAGAGAGTCTGGAAGTTTGTGCCTGGCCTCCCCCCGACTGTACTGTGTCCCGCGAGTCCTCCCTGCATGTCGCGGAACCTGGGTGGGCTTGGGGACCCCTGACACAGCTCCCTGGACCCCCTTCCCTCTGCCTGTGTCCCGTGCCTGCTTCTGAAAAGCACACCCCAATGTCCCCTCCTCCCCCGCAGAAATACTACCCGCCGGACTTCGACCCGTCAAAGATCCCCAAACTTAAGCTCCCCAAAGACCGGCAGTACGTGGTACGGCTGATGGCCCCCTTCAACATGAGGTGAGCACCCCCGCGTGACCCCACACCAGGCACGGCTGTAGGACGGAGTGCCTGGCATCCACAGAGGTGACCCGTCCGGGCTTCACACCAGGTCACTGGTCCCGGCTGAGACATTGACCACTCCAGCCCTCCCTCACCTCACCATTCGGGATTCAGCTCCGGATCTCTTAGAGCCTCCCAGCCAGGGCCGCCCGCAGGTCTCGGTGGTTAGTAAACGTGTGAGCAGAGAGCATAGGGCCCCAGAGATGCAGCCCCATGGATACGTTTCAGCTCCTCCATTAGCCAAACTCACTGCTGCCCCAGGACCTTTGCTTGCACTGCTGTCCCTGCCTGGAACTCTCTCCCTCTACTTTCTTTTCTTTTTTTGTTTGAGACAGAGTCTCGCTCTGTTGCCCAGGCTGGAGTGCAGTGGCACGATCTCAGCTCACTGCAACCTTTGCCTGCCAGGTTGAAGTGATTCTCCTGCTTCAGCCTCCTGAGTAGCTGGGATTACAGGCCTGCAGCCACCACGCCCGGCTAATTTTTGTATTTTTAGTAGAAGTGGGGATTCACCATGTTGGCCAGGCTGGTGTCTAACTCCTGACCTCAAGTGATCCACCAGCCTCAGCCTCCCAAAGTGCCGGGAGTACAGGCGTGAGCCACTGTGCCCCATTCATTTTTATATTTTTAGTAGAATCAGCATTTCGCCATGTTGGCCAGGCTGGTCTTGAACTTCTGACCTCAGGCAGTCTTCCCTCCTCGGCCTCCCAAAGTGTTGGGATGACAGGCGTGAGCCACCGCGCCCAGCCTTCTCCCTCCGCTTCCACGTGGCAGGCGCCTCTTGTCTGCCGGAAGTCATGGCTGAGATCTCACCCCTCCGGGAGGCCTCCATCCTCCCCTCTCACAGAACCCAGATCTTGCCTTTGTAGCACTTTAAAGTGATTGTATTTCACCAATTCTAAACCCCACACCTCTTCACGTTGTAGCATATTTGAAATCACACCTCTAACAAGGAGACATTTGGGTCATTGAAATTCGGTTCGTGCCATGTGTTGTTGACCTGCTCCTCCCCTTCATTCATTCATTCATTCATTCAACACTCATTTATCGGGCACCTGCTGTGTGCCAGGGTCTGTGCTGGGCACTAGAAGCAAAGTCCCTGGCCTCGTGGAGCCCACAGTCTAACGGGAAGTGGAGATGCTAGGTAGTCAGGCCGGTGCAGGGCCCCGTAGGTCAGGCAGGAGAGAGCCCCTGGGTTGGTGGCGGAGAAGGAAGAGGTGGAGGTATTTGGGGTGGTCAGGGCTACGTCAGACAAAATGCTGCGGCGCTGAGGTCTGAGGATGAAGGGCGTCACTGGCCATGGGGCCATAGGAGCAGAGGCCTTGAGGTGCGCCTGAGCTGGGGGAGTTTGCAGGATCAGACAGGCGGGGGGCGTGCTGGGCTGGGGAGCAGAGCCCTGTGTAGGACAGGGAGAGGGAGGTGGGGCCGCATTTTTATGTGTGGCATCTTCCCTCTTGGAGGGTAGGGGGCCCTGTAAACACTGAGATGGCTTCTGGGAGTGCATGACCGGCAGGCCTCACCTACTCGGAGGAATTCCCAAGCAGGCAACCCATGGAGCAAGCCCCAGGAAGATATGAACGGGAACGGGAGGTTCTCAGGTGGAGGAAATTTGGACACAGGCTGGCTGGGGCAGGCTGCCTCATGAGGGAGGGAGCTCCCCATCACTGGAGGCAAGCAAGCGGTGATCTCGCGGGGCGCTGCAGGGACAGCCTACCAGTGAGAGCCAGCATCCCACGACAGCGTGCGTCCCTCCATCCTGCCCCACAGGTGCAAGACGTGTGGAGAATACATCTACAAGGGGAAGAAATTCAACGCTCGGAAGGAGACGGTGCAGAACGAGGTCTACCTGGGCCTGCCCATCTTCCGCTTCTACATCAAGTGCACACGCTGCCTGGCAGAGATCACCTTCAAGGTAGACGAGACGGCCAACCAGGCCAGTCCCTCTCCCCCAGGACACCTCACATCAGGGCGGGCCCCGGGGTTCCTTACTCCCATCCTCTCCATCCAGGGAATCTCGTTTCAGTTTATCCCCAAGAAACAGACAGCGGTTTGGGGGAGATGTTCATGGCAGCCTTCTACATAAAGGCAGAAAGACAGATGCAACCTAGATAGATCATCATAGGGGATGAGAAGAACAAACAAGAATGCAGGCCGGGCGTGGTGGCTCACATCTGTAATCCCAGCACTTTGGGAGGCCAACGTGGGCTGGCTGCCTGAGGTCAGAAGCTCAAGACCAGCTTAGCCAACATGGCGAAATGCTGTTCTCTACTAAAAATACAAACATTAGCTGGGTGTGGTGGTGGACTGTAATCCCAGTTACATGGGAGGCTGAGGCAGGAGAATCGCTTGCACCTGGGAGGCGGAGGTTGTAGTGAGCCCAGATTGGACCACTGGACTCCATCTGGGTGGCAGAGCAAGACTCCATCTAAAAAAAAAAGCCAAACCAGGCACAGTGACTCATGCCTCTCATCCCAGCTCAGCAGTTTGGGAAGCCAAGGCGGGAGAGAGATTCCCTGAGGTCAGAAGTTTGAGACCAGCTTGGCCAACATGGTGAAACCCTATCTTTACTAAAAATAGAAAAATTAGCTGGGTGTGGTGGCGCACACCTGTAATCCCAACTGCTTGGGAGGCTGAAGCAGGAGAATCGCTTGAACTGGGAGGTGGAGGTTGCAGTGAGCCGAGATCTCGCCTCTGCACTCCAGCCTGGGCGACAGAGTGAAACTCCATCTCAAAAAAAAAAAAAAAAAAAATTAGCCCACAACGAAATATTACATGGCCAATAAAAGTCATAATTTGACTTTTAACTTAAGGATTTGAGGAAAGACTGAAGAGAACTTAAAATTTTCTCTTCCTATGCTTAGGTACGCTGAGTACTTTTTTGCCGTAAGCTTTTTTCTTTGATAAAAAAAAAGATTTTGGGCTGGTTGCAGTGGCTCATGCCTGTAATCCCAGCACTTTGAGAGGCGATCAGTTGAGATCAGGAGTTCAAGACCAGCCTGGCCAACACGGTAAAACCCCAACTCTACTAAAAAATACAAAAATAAGTAATAATAATATTTTGGCTGGGTGCAGTGGCTCACGCCTGTAATCCCAACAGTTTGGGAGGTCAAGGAAGGAGGATTGCTTGAATCCAGGAATTCAAGACCAGCTTTGGCAACATAGTAAGACCCTGTCTCTACAAAAAAATACAAAAATTAGCTGGGCATGATGGTATGTGCCTGTAGTGCTAGCTACTCAGGAGGCTGAGGCAGGAGGATCAACTGAGTCTGGGAGGCAGAGGCTGCAGAGAGTCATGATTTCACCACTGCACTCCAGCCTGGGTGACAGAGCGAGACCCTGTCTCTACACACAAAAAGTTGTTGGTTGGTTGGTCTGTTTGTTTGAGTTGGAGTTTCGCTCTTGTTGCCCAGGCTGGAGTGCAATGGCGTGATCTCTGCTCACTGCAACCTCTGCCTCCTGGGTTCAAGCGATTCTCCTGCCTCAGCCTTCGGAGTAGCTGGGATTACAGGTATGTGCCACCATGCCCAGCTAATTTTGTATGTTTGGTAGACATGGGGTTTCTCTATATTGGTCAGGCTGGTCTCAAACCCCCAACCTCAGGTGATCCTCCCACCGCGGCCTGAGCCTACAATATTAATGGTAACATTCTACCTTTAGTTTCTTTTTTTTTTAAGACAGGGTTTCACCATGTTGGCCAGGATGGTCTCAATCTCTTGACCTCGTGATCCACCGGCCTCGGCCTCCCAAAGTGCTGGAATTATAGGTGTGAGCCACTGTGCCTGGCCTAGTTTCTTTTTTTTAATTAAAAAAAATTTTTGAGGCCAGCCACGGTGGCCTACGCCTGTAATCCCAGCAATTTGGGAGGCCGAGGAGGGCGGATCATTTGAGGTCAGGAGTTCAAGACCAGCCTGGCCAACATGGTAAAACCCCATCTCTACTAAAAATACAAAAATTACCCAGGCGTGGTGGCACGCACCTGTAATCCCAGCTGCTTGAGAGTCTGAGGCAGGAGAATTGCTTCAACCCGGGAGGTGGAGATTGCAGTGAGCCGAGATCGCACCATTGCACTCCAGCCTGGGCAATAGAGCAAGACTCAGCCTCCAAACAGATGAAAGTGAAGGTGGAATGTTACCCCATTAACGTTGTAGGCTGGGTGCCGTAGGTCATGCCTGTAATCCCAGCACTTTCAAGGCCAAGGCGGGAGGATCGCTTGAGCCCAAGAGCTCGAGACCAGCCTGGGCAACATGGCGAAACCCTGTCTCAACGGAAAAGAAATTAAAAAATTAGCGAGGCGTGGTGGTGCACACCTGTAGTCCCAGCTGCGTGGAAGCTGAGGTGAGAGGTTGCTTGAACCTGGGAGGCGGAGTTTGCGGTGAGCTGTGATCCTGCCACTGCACTCCTGACCTCATGATCCAGCCTGGACAACAGAGTGAGACCCTATCCCAGAAAAACACAAGAAACGTAGTGTTACTGTTAGCATTTAGAGTGAATGTAGATTTCCGTTTTTCTGCTAACGTCGCTTTTGTGTTCCAGTTTGTAATTCAAGATACCAGGGTGTATCTAGCCACTCCGTTCAACAAACAAAAACAGGGTATGCTCTACACCTATTTGTACATGTGATTTATTGTCAGAGAAAAGGTGCTGATAAACACAAAGGATAGATGTCACAACACTTGCCCAAGCCCGGAGATTTGTTTTTGTTTTTGTTTTGAGACAGGGTCTTGATTTGTAGCCCAGGCTGCAGTGCAGTGGTGCGATCTTGGCTCACTGCAACCTTGCCCTCCCAGCTTCGTGCAATTCTCGTGCCTCAGCCTCCAGAGTAGCTAAGATTACAGGCGCTGTAAGATTATACCACATCCAGCCTAATTTTTTTTTTTTTTTTTTTTTTTTTTGAGATGGAGTCTCGCTCTGTCGCGCAGCCTGGAGTGTAGCGGTGTGATCTCAGCTCAGTGCATCCTCCACCTCCTAGGTTCAAGCAATTCTTCTGCCTCAGCCTCCTGAGTGGCTGGGATTGCAGGCATGTGCCACCATACCTGGCTAATTTTTGTATTTTTAGTAGAGACAGGGTTTCACCATGTTGGTTAGGCTGGTCTCGAACTCCTGACCTCCTGATCCACCTGACTTGGCCTCTCAAAGTGCTGGGGCTACAGGCATGAGCCAGGATGCCTGGCCTAATTTTTCTTTTTTTGGTAGAGACAGAGTTTCACCATGTTGGCCAGGCTGGTCTTGAACTCCTGATCTCCAGTGACCCACCCGCCTCCTTGGAGATTTTATTTGCAGTCATGTTGAGGGTAGGGAGTGGCAGCAGGAAGGGAGTGGGCACATAGAGAAGAGTCTTAAAGTTCACGCCAGGGAGTTGGGCGTTTTTGCCCAAAGAGATGGGAGGAGCACTAGGAAGAAACTGCACTGGCCAAAGCAATAAAAATCAGAGCGAAGGATGGCTGGGCACGGTGGATCACATGCTTGTAATCCCAGCACTATGGGAGGCCAAGGGGGGTGGATCACGAGGTCAAGAGATGAAGACAATCCTGGCTAACATGGTGAAACCTTGTCTCTACTAAAAATACAAAAATTAGCTGAGCATGGTGGCACGCACCTGTAGTCCCAGCTACTCAGGAGGCTGAGGCAGGGGAATCGCTTGAACCTGGGATTCAGAGGCTGCAGTGAGTCAACATCGTGCCACTGCACTCCAGCCTGGTGACAGAGCAACACTGTCTGAAAAAAAAAAAAAAAAATTTAGAAGGGGCCCTGAACTGCTGGTGGTGCTTTAGAAGTTTCTGGTGCCTGGGGTTGTAGGAGCTGATGTCTGTCTATCCTCCCTCCAGACAGACCCTGAAAACACAGACTACACCATGGAGCACGGAGCCACGAGGAATTTCCAGGCTGAGAAGCTCCTGGAGGAGGAGGAGAAGAGGGTGCAGAAAGAGCGGGAGGATGAGGAGCTGAACAACCCCATGAAGGTGAGCTGGGGGCATGCAGGTGTTCATGGGCACTGTGTGTGTGTGTGTGTGTGTGTGTGTGTGTGTATGCAGGTGTGTAGGTGTGGGTGTGTGGGTGTGTGTGCAGGTGTGTGTGTGTGTATGTGTGGGTGCGGGTGTGTGTGTAGGTGTAGGTGTGGGTTTGTGTGTGTGGGTGTGTGAGTGTGTGTGTGCAGGTGTGTGTGTCGCTGTAGGTGTGGGTTTGTGGGGGCATGTGGGTGGGTAAGTGCATGTGTGTGGGCAGGGGTGTGGGTGTGTGTGTAGGTGTGGGTTTGTGGGTGTGTGTGTGGGGGGGTGTGTGTGTGTCAGTGTAGGTGTGGGTTTGTGGGTGTGTGTGGGGGGGTGGGTAAGTGAATGTGTGGGCAGGGGTGTGGATGTGTGTGTAGGGGTGTGTGTGCAGGTGTGTGTGTGTGTATGTGTGGGTGCGAGTGTGTGTGTAGGTGTAGGTGTGGGTTTGTGGGGGGGTGTGGGTGGGTAAGTGCATGTGTGTGGGCAGGGGTGTGGATGTGTGTGTAGGGGTGTGTGTGGGTGTGTGTGGGCAGTAGGTAGGTCTGTGTGTTGGGGGAGTGGATGTGCCAGCAGGTGTGCCTTCCCTGCCTCAGGTCCCCAGGGAAGGAAGATGGGGTGGGGGGCATGGTTGGTAAAACTTCAAGATGTCCCCAGGAGGCCAGGCGCAGTGGCTCACACTGGTAATCCCAGCACTTTGGGAGGCCAAGGTGGGCAGATCATGAGGTCAAGAGTTTGAGGCCAACCTGGACAACATGGTGAAACCCCGTCTCTACAAAAAAATACAAAAATTAGCTGGGCATGGTGGCACACACCTTTCATCCCAGCTACTCAGGAGGCTGAGGCAGGAGAATCACTTTAACCCGGGAGGCAGAGGTTTCAGTGATCCAAGATTGCACCAGTGCCCTCCAGCCTGGGCAACAGAGTGAGACTTCATCTCAGAAAAAAAAAAAAAATTAACCAGGCCTGGTGGTGCATGCTTGTAATCTCAGCTACTCAGGAGGCTGAGGCAGGAGAATTGCTTGAACCCAGAGGACAGAGGTTACAGTGAGCCAAGATCGTGCCTCTGCATTCCAGCCTGGGCAACAGAGCAAGACTCTGTCTCAAAAATGAAATAAAATAAATTATATTCACTTCCAATTGGACAATTTGTTTTTCTCAGAAATATTGAAATGAGCCAGGCATGGTGGCTTGAACCTGTAGTCCCAGCTACTTTAGGGGCTGAGACGGGAGGATCACTTGAGTACAGGAGTCCTAGACCAGCATGGGCAACACAGTGAGACTCTGTGTCTACAAAACATTAAAGAATTAGCCAGGTGTACTGGTGTGTAACTGTAATTCCAGCTACCAGGGAGGTTGGGGCAGAAGAATCACTTGAGCCCAAGTGATAATAGCCCACTTGAGCAGGTCAAGACTGCAGTGAGCTGTTATCACACCACTGCACTCCAGACTGGGAGACAAATCAAGACTCTGCCACTAAAAAAAAAAATGCATATATGTGTGTGTGTGTGTGTGTGTATTTGTACATATGTATACATACACGTATGTACTTATACCTATATGTGTACAACACACATATATATAATAAATTTTAAAATGATTCTGTTCGCTGCTGTCCCTGCCCACTCCCGTATTTCCCGTCCATTCCCATCTATTTCTGGACCCACCCACCCCTTCCAAATGCGAGTTTTCTGAGCAAGCCACATCAGAGCTGATCCAGCATTTTCCATGGCCATGCAGAGCAACAGGGAGGGAAATGAGCCTTGGTGAGGGTTTGGTGTGTGCCTGGGGCTGTTGCACTGCTGTCTGTGTGTGACTTTAGTTACCTCCATGCTGACAGCGAGGGGCTCTTAACCCTGGTACTAGTCAGCTATTGCTACATAACAGGTCATCCCAAAACTTAGTGACCTTAAACAACAGACATTTAGTATCCCACAGTTTTTGAGAGTCAGGCCTCCAGAAGCAGCTAAGCTGGATGGTTCTGGCTTGGGGGCTCCCATGACGTTGCGGTCAAGGTGTTGGCCAGGGCAGTATCATCTGAAGGCTAGACTGGGGCTGGAGGAGCCACTTGAAAACTAGCTCCCTCTACTGGCTGTTGGCGGGAGGCCTCAGCGCCTCACCACCTGGAGAGCTGCTTGAGCATCCTCACAACATGGCGACTGCCTACCCCAGACCAGAGAGAGAGAGAGAGAGTGAGTGTGCGCGCGCACACAAGTGCACATGAGCGAGGAGGAAGCTCTGTGCTTTCCTGTCCTGTTCTCAGAAGTGACATGCCGTTACTTCTGTCGTAGCCCATTACAGCAAGTAACCATGTCCGGCCCCTGCTAAAGGGGTGGGGAGTTACCTCCACCCCTTAAAGGGAGAAGCATCAGAGAGTTTGTGGATATATTTTAAAACTACCAGAATTGCCATTTTCCAAAGGGTAAAGACCACAAGGTCACAGCACTGGGAAGCAGCCAGGCAGGATTGACGCCCAGCCCGGCCTGGCTCCAAAGCCACTTCTTAGAGGCCTGCGGCTGCCAGACTCGCCTCCCTCAGCCTCAGTTTTCTTTTCTGTAAAATGGGGGTTGTGAGGATTAAATGAGATTGCATATGGAAAGGTTTTGGCCCAGCGTAAGGTATTAGCCCGGCCTACAGCAGGTGCTCAGGCTGTCTTTTTACATATTTCCTTATTATGATGATTTTTTTGAGATGAAGTCTCGCTCTGCTACCCAGGCTGGAATGCATTGGCACGACCTCAGCTCACTGCAACCTCTGTCCCCCAGGTTCAAGTGATTCTCCTACCTCAGTCTCCCAAGTAGCTGGGATTACAGGTGTGCGCCACCACCCCCGGCTAATTTTTGTATTTTTATTTTTATGTATTTTTTTGAGATGGAGTCTCCCTCTGTCACTCAGGTGTGAGTACATGATGTGATCTCAGCTCACTGCAACCTCTGCCGCCCAGGTTCAAGCAACTCTCCTGCCTCAGCCTCCCAAGTAGCTGGAGTGACAGGCACACGCCACCACTCCCAGCCAGCGTTGTATTTTTAGTACAGATAGGATTTCACCGTGTGGGCCAGGCTGCTCTCGAACTCCTGACCTCAAGTGATCCTCCCATCTCGGCCTTCCTAAATACTGGGATTACAGACGTGAGCCACCACGCCTGGCTGAATTTTTCCCTATTATTTTTACTGAAAGATGGCACCAGGCCGGAAGTCCAGGCCACCTGGGTCCAGAGCCGGACTCTTTCCACCCTACCCTGCCCAGGGGCTCAGATCACAGCTCTACCACTGCTCAGCCCCATGGATGTCACTTTCCTGCCCCAGACCTGAGTGTTCTCACCTGTGAAATGGGCACAGCGGTGGGCATGGGCAGGGGGTTCCCTGAGCAAGATGGAAACATTGGGGTAGGGGGGTTCCTCCCATGGCCCGCGGCGGTCCCCAAGGCTAGGCAGGGTGTGCCCAGGGCGCCGTGCATTCAGCCCTTCTGCCCCCCCGCCCACCAGGTGCTGGAGAACCGGACCAAGGACTCCAAGCTGGAGATGGAGGTACTGGAAAACCTGCAGGAGCTGAAGGACCTGAACCAGCGGCAGGCGCACGTGGACTTTGAGGCCATGCTGCGGCAGCACCGCCTGTCCGAGGAGGAGCGGCGGAGGCAGGAGCAGGAGGAGGACGAGCAGGAGACTGCGTGAGTCGGGGCCGGCCCATCCCAGGCCCAGCTCGCAGCCTCTGCACGGCGGGCGCTGCCTCTGCCTGGGACCCTCCCCCACTTCGCAGGGACCCCTTTCCCACCGCCCAACTCACGTTCTCCCTTGCAGCATCTGTCTCGGGGGTGTCCAGGCCACCGCCAGGCTCAGTGGCTCAGCACATGGTCGCCCGCATGGCTGTGGTTTGTCACAGTGAGAGGACACAGCAGATTCAGCACAGGGCAAATGCGTGTGGGGTGTGTTGGGGGCCAGGCCTTCCAGATTCACTCCTGCTGGAGCCTCGAAGATCGCGCCTCATCCCCAGCACGAGTCCGGAGAGAGACGCAGTCACCGGGGAAGCTCCTAGAGACCCAGTGTAGGGTTCCTATGCAGCCTGGACCCACAGCGCCCTGCCTGGCCCATGCCAGGATTCCAGACACCAGAGAAAAGCAGGGTCGCGCATACACCATGGTGTTTGCAGGAGGAGCTGAGGCCCTAGTGCCTGTCGTGTCACTGAGGGGGCCCCCAGTGCAGGCTCCCAGACTCCCACCAAGGGCCGCCCTCTCCAGCCACCTTCTGAGGACACAGCCTCAGGCCCCCTGGGTGAATGCTTTTCTTTTTCTGTTTTTCTGAGCCAGGGGTCTCGCTCTGTCACCCAGGCTGGAGTGCAGTCAGAGCTCGCTGTAGCCTCCATCTCCCGGGCTCAAGGGATCCTCCTGCCTCAGCCTTCTGGGTAGCTGGGACCACAGGACTCATCACCATGCCCAGCTAATTGTTTTTATTTTTCTAGAGACAGGACCTCGCCCTGTTGGCCAGGCTGGTCCTGAACTCTCGGCCTCAGGCAGTCCTCCTACCTCAGCCTCCCGAAGTGCTGGATGACAGGTATGAGCCCCTGTGACCCGCCTTTCCCAGTGCCTGGCGTGGTGGCTCCCGCCTGTCATCCAGCACTTTGGGAGGCCGAGGCGGGTGGATCACCTGAGATCAGGATTTCAAGACCAACCTGGCCAACATGGCTAAACCCCATTTATACTAAAAACACAAACAAATTAGCTGGGCGTGGTGGCGGATGGCTGTAATCCCAGCTGCTCTGGAGGCTGAGACAGGAGAATTGCCTGAACCCTGGAATCAGAGGTTACAGTGAGCCGAGATGGTGCCGCTAAATTCCAGCCTGGGCAACAGAGCAGGACTCCATCTAAAACAAAAATTGAAATTAAAAACTAAAAAATAAAAAGTAGACTGGGCACGCTGGCTCACACCTGTAAACCCAACACTTCAAGGGGCTGAGGCAGGCGGATCACCTGATGTCAGGAGTTTGAGACCATCCTGGCCAACACGGTGAAACCCTATCTCTACTAAAAATACACAGATTAGCTGGACACAGTGGCACATGCCTGTAGTCCCAGCTACTCAGGAGGCTGAGGCTGCAGAATCACTTGGACCCAGGAGGTGGAGGTTGCAGTGACCCGAGATCGCATCACTGCGCTCCAGCCTGGACAACAGAGTGAGACTCTGCCTCAAAAAAAAAAATACAAAAATTAGCCAAGCATGGGCTGGGCGTGGTGGCTCATGCCTGTAATCCCAGCACCTTGGGAGGCTGAGGTCGGGAGTTTGAGACCAGCCTGACCAACATGGAGAAACCCCGTCTCTACTAAAAATACAAAATTAGCTGGGCATGGTTGTGCGTGCCTGTAATCCCAGCTACTTAGGAGGCTGAGACAGGAGAATCACTTGAAACCGGGAGGCTGAGGCTGCGGTGAGCCGAGATCATTGCATTCCAGCCTGGGCAACAAGAGCGAAACTCTGTCTCAAAAAAAATTAGCCAGTCGTGGTGGCAGGCACCTGTAATCTCAGCTGCTTGGGAGGGTGAGGCAGGAGAATTGCTTGAACCCGGGAGGAGGAGGTTGCAGTGAGCTGAGATCACGCCACTGCACTCCAGCCTGGCAAGAGTGACTATCTCAAACATAAAATGAAATAAAAATTCATGAGGCGGCCGGGCGCGGTGGCTCAAGCCTGTAATCCCAGCACTTTGGGAGGCCGAGGCGGGTGGATCACAAGGTCAAGAGATCGAGACCATCCTGGTCAACATGGTGAAACCCCGTCTCTACTAAAAATACAAAACATTAGCTGGGCATGGTGGTGCGTGCCTGTAATCCCAGCTACTCAGGAGGCTGAGGCAGGAGAATTGCCTGAACCCAGGAGGCGGAGGTTGCGGTGAGCCGAGATCGCGCCATTGCACTCCAGCCTGGGTAACATGAGTGAAACTCCGTCTCAAAAAAAAAAAAAAAAATTCATGAGGCATAGGGGCACATGCCTTTGGACCCAGCTGCCCAGGAAGCTGAGTGGGGAGGATCACTTGTGCCCAGGAGGTCAAAGTTGCAGTGAGCTATGATGATGCCACTGCACCCCACCCTGGGTGACAGAGTGAGACCTCGTGTCTAAAAAAAAAAAGTAGGCCAGGCGCGGTGGCTCACCCCTGTAACCCAGCACTTTGGGAGGCCGAGGCAGGTGGATCACGAGGTCAGGAGTTCAAGACCATCCTGGCCAACATGGTGAAACCCCTTCTCTACTGAAAAATACAAAAATAAGCTGGGCATGGTGGCTCGTGCCTGCAGTCCCAGCTACTTGGGAGGCTGAGGCATGAGAATCGCTTGAACCTGGGAGGTAGAGGTTGCGGTGAGCCGAGATCACGCCACCGCACTCCAGCCTGGGCTACAGAGCGAGACTCCATCTCAAAAAAAAAAAAAAAAAAGTAATCTTTGTGTCCTCTACTCAGTCCCACCCCTGCTCGCCGAGGGCAGGAAGGGGCGTCCAAGCACCCAGGCCACTTGCCACTCCAGCACGCGCGTCCCAGGTGCTGTCCCCTGTGCAGAGCACGTCCAAGCTCCCATCTCCCATCCCACAGGGCCCTGTTGGAGGAATCCAGAAAACGAAGACTGCTGGAAGACTCCGACTCGGAGGACGAGGCTGCTCCTGCGCCCCTCCAGCCGGCCCCTCGGCCCAACCCCACCGCCATCCTGGATGAGGTGAGGGGGGCTGCCTGAGTCCCCGGGGGCTCCCGGCTGACCTAGGGACAGCTGAAGCCAGGAGTCTGCTTGACTTTTTCTTAAAAGGCCAGTCTGCAGCTATAGCCCAGAACAACCATGATGGTGTAATTAAGGGGACATGGCGTGGTGCCAATAAAACTTTATTTAAAGGCTGGATGCCGTGGTTCGTGCCTGTAATCCCAGCTACTCAGGAGGCTGAGGCAGGAGAATTACTTGAACCCAGAAGGTGGAGTTTGCAGTGAGCCAAGATCATGCCTTTGCACCCCAGCCTGGATGACAGAGTGAGACTTTGTCTCAAAAATAAATAAATAAATAAAAACTTAATTTCCTAAAGCAGGTGGCAGGCTGGGGTCCGTAATTTGCCAACCCCTGTTTAAGCTGCTGAAATAAGGGAATGTAAAGAAAGAACATAGAATTTCATTCCTCAATCACGTAACAGTCCTGGGCTGACAGGACTTCCAGGAGGCTCTGCTCCATGGAGTCATTCAGGGATTCAGGCTCCTTCCTTCTGGAGCACGGCTTCCTGCGCTGTGGTCACAGCTGACTCAGAGCACCGTCAGCGTCCGGCTGTGGGAAGGCGAAGGGTGTGTGGAGGACCACCCAGATGCGGATGTGGCTCACTTCAATTCTTCTCTCATGCCATAAGCCACAGCATAGTCACAAGGCCCCATCTGGCTGCAAGGGAAGCTGTGAGACACCTCCTCCAGCTGGCTTGTGCCTGGCTGTCCTGCTAACTAGAACAGAGAGAGGCCAGGCACTGTGGCTCAGGCCACCAGCACTTCGGGAGGCCGAGGCGGGTGAATCTCCTGAGGTCAGGAGTTCAAACAGCCTTTCCAACATAGTGAAACCTCTGTCTCTACTGAAAACAAAAATTAGCCAGGTGTCGTGGCACATGCCTGTAATCCCAGCTACTCCGGAGGGTGAGGCAGGAGATTTGCTCGAACCTGGGAGGCGGAGGTTGCAGTGAGCCAAGATCGCACCACTGCACTCCAGCCTGGACAACAGAGGGAGACTTTAAAAAAAAAAAAAAAAGAAGGGAGGAAAGAATTTAGTGGGGTGACCAGCATTTTCCGCCACAGCTGACTCCTACAAGGTGGCCTCGGCCACTCTGGTTTGTTGACTGAAGAAGGTAGCTAAAGTGGAGGCTCATAAACCAATAACACAGACACACAGAAATGAATGTTCTTTTTTTTCTTTTTTTTGACACAGGGTCTTGCTCTGTCGTCCAGGTTGGAGTGTGTGGGCGCAGTCCCAGCTCACTGCAGCCTCAGCCTCCTGGATTCAAGCAATCCTCCCACCTCAGTCTCCTGAGTAGCTGGGACCACCGGCACGCACCACTGTGCCTGGCGAATTTTTCTTGTCTTTTTTTTTTTGAGACGGAGTCTCGCTCTGTCGCCTGGCTGAAGTACAGTGGTGCAATCTCAGCTCATTGCAGCCTCCACCTTCTGGGTTTAAGTGATTCTTCTGCCTCAGCCTCCTAAGTAGCTGGGATTACAGGTGCTTGCCCCCGCGCCTGGCAATTCCTTGTATTTTAGTAGAAATGGGGTTTTACCATGTTGGCTGGGATGGTTTCAATCTCTTTTTTTTTTTTTTTTTTTTTTTTT